ATCACAAGGCTCACATCCACCGTGCAGTACATGATCACGCTGGAGCAGCTCAAAATAAACGGGCTTGGCAAAGTATAATTATTTCCAGCAAAAGAGTTGGTTCTGCATTTTGACAGTCATCTGATACATTATTGTACTCGATGCTAAACTGTGAAGATGCAAAATTAAAAGAAAGCCTTTTCTTAAGTTTAAAAGTACTCATTATTAAATTATAAAGCAGGGCATTTATGATGAGTCAGTCCACAAACAGAAGGATAACAATGGAAGACTGAAGGAAGTTTGATTTCTTCATATAACCCCTAACATTCACAAACCAAGGCCACAGAAAATTAAGTGAGATAGCACATGCAAAATACCTAGTCCAGTGCCCAAGACATAATAAGATCTCAGTAAATGCAAATTTTCTTCCTTATTGTTGCTATTATCCCAGGCAAATAAATAGACAGCTCCCACACAGGGGGCTGAGTGTCAGGAGAAAGGCTGACACACAGGGCTGGGAGGGTACAGAAAAAAGGCCCTCACCCCAGGAGAGCAAGTCCTGAATTGACTCAGACAGGGCAAGCAGAGCACAGCAGAGTGGGGGGACATAAGAAAGAGACTGAGATTGAGAGACAGAAAAACGTGTGCAAAGGCTCGGAAGCAAGAAAGAACACGAGATCTGGAGACCAGCTTAGAAAGACCACAGCAAGCACTGTTACCTGCAAGGGCTCCTCTTTTTGTGTTAAAATGACATAATGCACTGACTCCATGGCACAATGGGAGGTGGCTGAGCATGTCCCCACAGGCCACCCTCCCAGGTTCAAATTCCCAGTAAGGTGATCTCCAACCCCAGCCACTGAGATCCCAATGAGACAGGAGCGATCTCTCTTATGTACCTAATCTCAAAGGTAAGATAAGAGAGATCTCTCTCATGTACTTGATCTTAAAGATGAGATAGAAGAGATCTCTCTTTAAAAGAAGACTCAATGAAATCTAAGCCACCCAGTGGCAACGTCTGAATGTGCTGAATCGGCTGCACTTCAGAAAAAGCGAATCTTTGGGAGACAGGGCATATCACTTTACACACAGAAAACCGCTGCTGTCCATGAAGGACAAGCTGTGAAACGTTTAACATTGGCCTTCAATTATTAAACGGGCCCAAATGAGCTCTGGCAGTAAGACAGATCACACATACACACAGAGGTCCCTGGCGGGCCAGCCTAAATTGTCTTGGGGTTATTCATCAAGACACCAACAGACAGGGGGTGGTGCAGGTGGCCTTTCAGAGACCTCAAGGCCATGGGGTTACCCAGCTAGGAAGGGACAGTCATGCTAGGACGGGGAAGAGAAAGCCAAAGGAACCGAACTGTCTGCAGAAAACACAGTTTTTCTCTAGGTATAGTACAACCCATGCTGGCAGTGATCTTAACAACCTCTTGCTCCTTGGTTGGCATTTTCCTACCGGTCACTCAGTTGTCTCTGCTGGGTGTATTTTTCTGTCCCCTGGAGACAAGCAGCATGCTGAGGTGACACTCTGGAAGCATACCTGGCTTCAAATACTACTCTCCTGTTTACTAACTGTATGACGTTCAGCCTCAGTTTCCCCATCCATAAATGTAGACTCATGGGCTGTTGTGAAAATTAAATGACACATTATGCCCCTGGCACAATGCACACAAGAAAGGCTCTTTTCATTCTGCTCCCCATTCCCTTTACCCCTTTTCTTTGTGTTGCTAAAACGTTAGAATGATTTCTTATCTAGGCACAGGGGTTTGCCTCTTTTGATTTCAGATCAGCCCCTTTTCCTGTGGAGTCTCAGCCTGTTTTGCCACTTATTTCCACCTGGGGTTCACCCTAACAGGAAGGATTTAGTTAGTGATCCCAGGGCCAGCCCTTTCACACCTCTCCCTCCTCTGACCACCCCCCCCACAGTCCCACCCACCCTAGCTGCACCTCAGCTATTCTCCTCTCTATCTGACCAATCTGTGAGGTCTGCCTCTTTGCCTGTCACTGCAACCTTCTTTTTCCTGCATCAGATGGTTCCCTTCCTTGGTCTGGCCTTGCCCTAGGCCTGGTTCCACCCTCCAGGTGTAACCAAGCTTCTGCCCTCACCTGGCTTGGGCTGCTGGATCCTGGGACCCTGAAGCACAGAGGCCACACCTCAGTGCTCTTGTTCTGCAGGCAGCAGGATCCAGCACACGGCAGACTCTGGCCAGAACTAGTAGGGCGAGAGGGACACAGTGCCAGAGGGCCCAATCCTGGGACATGTTCTTAGAAGTTCTGTCTCGAGGCCAAGAAAAAATTTCCTAGGATGGAAACACTCCAGGAAGCCTAGGCAATGACAAATGAGCTGAGCACAGGAGATCTCCAGAGACTCCTAGACTCCAGAAACCTTCACACTCTCATGCACGGTCCTCACACGCCCTGACACAGTCCTCACATGCCCTGAGCAATTTACATGTGCTGCGCCCAGACTAGGGTGGAGGTCCTGGACCAGCAGACAGGCTAAAGAGAATACAGATGACTGAGATTCTGAGTCCTGGTCACAGGGGAAGCAATTAAACACAGTGCTAAGTGCTAGGGATGCAGAGTGGGTGCCCACATGGCCTCTACGCTCTCCCAGGATGAGTTGACCCCCACCCCTCTGCTTCCACAACACCCTGAACACCCGCATCACAACACTCAGCATCCTGGACTGACAAGCTGGCTTATCTTACCTTCTAGACCACAAGCTCCTTGAGGGAGGAGACTCGGTCACATTGGACTTTACATCTACAGCATGTAGCACAGTGTTGGCACAATTCCCAGGCCTACCACTTGCTAGCTTTGCCAAGTCACTTAAAATCTCTAAGCCTCAATTTTCTAGTCTGTTGAGTGGCGATAATAATAATCTCTACACCCACGGAGGAGGGAGAAATGGGTGAACTTATGTAAAGCCCTTACTTAACCCAATCCCTGATCAAGAGTCAGTACTCAATGACTGTTAGTGAGGAAATGAACTGGGAATAATGGATTTGGGGTAAGAAAGAGAGATAAATGTTCAAACAAATGATCACAGAATTGTGTAATAAATCATATAGTAGGAATACAGCTGAATCACAATGAGAAAAGAAAGCAAAGCACCCAGTTTTGCTTTGGCATAAACAGAAAACTGCACAGAGGAAGGAATACTTGATACTATCTGAAGAACCAAAAGCTGGGCCAAAGACAGAGGCAGGAGAGAGAACCAAAAGCTGGGCCAAAGACAGAGGCAGGAGAGAGAACCAAGTGTGCTCAGGACCTGCAAGGCTGGCCGCAAGCAAGGTCTGTGTGAAGGAACGGTGGTGATGCACAGTGTGGAGAGGTGAGTTGGAGCCAAAAATCCCCCGCAAGCTCTGCCACAGGGAATAGGGGTCTCCTGGGAGATGGTGAGCAGTCACTGCAGGACTCTGGGCAGGAGAATGGATGACAGAGACACTCTGGTGGCTCTGTGGAGGGTGGAGGGGGGGACAAGACTGGAGACAAACACAGGAAAGTGGGGGGGCCAACTTGGGCTGAGCAGAAGGGAATGGAGATGGGGTGAGGGGAGGAGGCAAATGAAGCCTGCCAGATCAAGAGGCTAGGGAGAAACTGAGTCTCAGAAAGACTGCAACTGGCCCTTGGCACTCCCCAAGGCGCCGCCATATAAAAGTGTGGGTCTGTGGGTTATAATAAATCACCTCTCCCACGTTTGCTGCCTGATAATTTGTACAACAACAGAGGAACATGACTATGGAAAATTCCACTGAAAACTTTGACCGAGTGAGCAGGCCCAGAGGTCAAAGACACCACTGATGACTGGGCAAAACCATCTATGACAGGCCTGGGATCCTGGCCAGCACTTTTCCACTCATATGCAAACCTGGGACCCAAGTTCCAGCGACAAAGTCTTTCAGGTATACTTTTTTTAAAAAGTCGTTTACAGGAACCCAAGGTCCTCCAAGTACTTCAGAGAAATGCTTTGTATTTCATTTGTCCTCAAGGAAAAAACAATAGTCTCTTTGCCCTGTGGGACTGGGTGACTGGGAACCACGAAAAAGATACAATAACCACCGAGTCTCTGAGGTCCCAGAAGTTCATCTGTCTGTCAGTGTCTGTGTCTCTCTCTCTCTCTCTCACACACACTCTCTCACACACACACACACACACACACACACGCCCCCATGGGAAAGGAAATACACCACTATCCTGTGAAAGGAGCTGCATGTTAATGACCTTCTGGAGGAGGGAGGGCTCGAGACCATACATGACCAACCCTGATGACCACAACATGGTTGCCTCTTCTGCTTTCTTCCTTGCTTTCAATCTAATTAGACAGAGCTAATGAAGAGGCAGCAATGGTGCTTGGTTCAGCTGTTCCAGACCCCAGTGTATCTTTCTTATTAAAAATAGAGAGACCCAAGGGTTCAATTTGGTAAAAACACACAGAGAGGCACATTTTTTCTTAAAAAAAAAATTTTTTTTTGCAATAAAAACCGTATCTGTTTAATAAGGACCAAAAACTCAAATGTACAATAGTGAGATCCCTGGCAGTACCTGTCTGCATTTTCAAAAGTGTCTTCAAAGACAGAATATTAGAATAACCAAAGACCTGCATTCCAGTGTCAGCTCTACCATTTACCAGCTGTGTGATCTTGGGAAAAATATGTAACATCGTGAGCCTCAGCTGTGTCATTACCAAATGGGAATGATGCCCTGCCTATCTCACAGTGTCTGGGGGAGAGAATATATTTTGAAGTGCTTTGTAAGCTTTAAAGCACTTTGCTAACACCTACTGAGTCAACAAATATTCACTGAGGGCTTGTGAGGTTCCAGGTATTGTTCCCCTTCAACCGTTAACGTTATTACCAACATGGCACCTCTTCCAGCTCAGCCATTAGATGTCAATTTCAAACGCAGGCTGCTATATGGTCTCAAGCCAACCTCTCACTCACCCATTTTTCTTCCCAATCAGGGCATTAGTCACTTGCCTCCATCAGGAGATATCTAATGACATCTCAGCCCTAGAAGGCCCTGGAACATGTTAGCACAAACGTTGATGGGGATAGGAGCCTCTTGCCACCTCTGCTGCCCCGGAAGACCTGATCTTGAGAAGCTTCCAGAATCTCTTCATAACCACAGAATAAGATGGCTTTCACAAGCAGGGCCAAAGGTGGGGAGGGCAGGTAGGTAAACAGATGAGAAGCCTGTGTGACTGCATCCTTTTCCAGTATCAGTGCCTGGCTCCACGTCCACATCACATGGCCTTCACCTTCCTAGTCAGGAAAGGTTTAAAGTATGTGAAGTTAGCAACTCAGAAGCAAGCTCTGTATGCCCTTCCTGTCCTGACCTTGCTCCTTGGTTTTCATTCCAGAAACAATCCTCTGCCTTCTGCCAGAGGTCCAGCAAGTGTGACCCTGAGTTGCTTCCTCTATCTGAATCCCCACTTAAGAAACCTCCCACAGAGACCAGAGTCCTACCTGCTTTTACTCCAAGAGACTGTCTTGATGCAGAATCTACCTGGGAGCCTCCTGAAACTCTAGGGATTCATCTCCACACCCCCAGGGTACAGCTTCAGGCTGTGGTAGACACACAACAGATATTTATAGAATAAGAAGTTTGTCCACTTACCTAGATTACCGCAAACCATCTGCTTGCGTGCCCCTCTCCAGCTTACAGGACCTCCTCCATGAATAAACCACTGCCTGTCGCCATGTTCTCTGGTGGCTTTGCTATTCCAACTCCAGGCCCTGATGGGGTATCTGGGTCAAACCTACCTACCCCATTCCCAGGGCCCTCAGCATATTCTAGGAGCCAAAGTGCTAAGCAAATTCTGAAGTCAGCTGGCTTCAGTGTTGCAGACCTACCCTTTGCTCCTGGGATCTGAGAGTTAGTCCAGTCTAAAGACCCCGTATAGGCCATCTGGCACTGTTTGGTGACAGCCACTTCCCCTTGCCCAGTGGTAGACCCTTCCTGTTCAACAAGCACTACTGAAGATTTTGAGACCAACACAGGAAATATCTCACTAAAACCTAAAAAGAAGGGCTCCAGGCAGATCTAGACTATAACATATCAGAGTCTGGTATTGTGAGGCTGTTCTAAACCTGATAAAGTCGAAAACCTTATTTCTACTTTGCATTCCAGATCAGCAAAGGAAAAGCACACATGACACAAAGGATGAACTGAGACTTAGTCCTGGTCTCTTCTACTATCTTGCTATGTGGCCTCAAGCAAGTCACTCTCCTCTGAATTTCTATGTCCTTCTTTGTAAAATCAAAGGCTTAAACTTGGTGATCCATTTCTAAAGTCAGACATTTCTTTGTTTTATTTTTAATTTTTTCAGCCAGAGTCTCACTTTGTCGCCCAGGCCAGAGTGCATTGGCACAATCACGGCTTACCACAGCCTCAACCTCCAAGGCCCAGGCAATCCTTCCACCTCAGCCTCCTGAGTAGCTGGGACTACAGGCATATGCTACCACACCCGCCTAATTTTTTGTTTTTTGTAGAGACAAAGTCTTACTATATTGCCCATGCTGGTCTCAAACTTCTGAGCCCAAGCAATCCTCCCGCCTTGGCCTCCCAAAGTGCTCGGATTACAGGCATGAGCCACTGAGCCCGGACTAAAGCCTGATATTTCTATGCCTGTTATCTGGAAATCTCTCTGCCTCTCAGACCACATCACTGAAATCACCTGAGAAGTCGTTAGAAATGCAGAATAGATCTGCTGACTCAGACCTACAGAACCAGAATCTGCATTTTAACAAGATCCCCAAGTGACTTGCTCACACACTGAAGTTTGAGAAACACTGTTTTACAGCTTCTCAGAAAGACCTGGGCTGACCTGGAGCATGACATCTTCTGCAAGAAGCTGGAAGAAGAATGAGTCTGTCACAGGACTTTGCTGAATATGATTAGAAGCAGCTGGCTGGTAGTAAGGGCCAGGGAGAAATGCTGCGAGATCCTTTTAAACTCAGCTGCGATCCATAAAACGTCTCTGAAGTACTTAGAGTCTCTAAATTTGAAGTCTTTAGATAAAATGATTTTAAAAATACTAATTATGCACGGAAGTCTAACCATGAACCCAGCATTAGTGAATCCAGAGCGCCTTCTGTGCTGGCATGCTGCCAGCAGCCACGAACAGAGAGCTTTAAAACCAGCAAAGAGGTCACCCCGGAAATCACAACACCTCTCCTGGCCACTCCTGCCTCCTGACTGGTCCTCACCTGCCAGAACCTCCATCCCAGATGGAATCCCACAGACAAGACCACACTCAAAGGTGCATTGCCTGGGCCTAGACAGTAAGACAGAGGTAGAAGAGGGCCACAACCTCTGGGGTCACAGACCCACACAGGATCAATCACACAGCAGAAAGGGAGGATGGAGAGCAGCGGCATGGAAGCAGCACAGACTAAACCAATCCCAGTGAAGACTCCTGCTTCCAAATCCAGGGGAAGCCAGTTTCTGGCTTGGTGCCACCCAGCTGAAATGGTCTCATTCAGCCGGTGAGGCTTTGAGACAAGCAGAGAAACATTCTAAGCCCCGGGGCCCATTCATGAGCAGGCAGCCACCCTGGCCCTCCCCACCCCTGCAGATGAGAGGTCATCACCCACCCCTTGCTGCCACTAATTATGACATGAGATGTTACTGCAGACTGTAGAATTACTCAACTTCGTTCAATTGGCCACATCACTATGCAAGGGCTGTATCTCAGTTGCCTGTTTCCCTAGCACTCGAGGGGACAGGAGGCATGAGAGAGGAAAGAGGGACAGGGGAGGGGAGCCTGGGCTCGATGACAATGCATGTCATCAGCAAGGGGGAAAGGGGCCCCTTTCTGGAGGAGCTCTCGGTCTCAGTGCCCATCTTTCATCCTCAGCACGCTGTGAAAAACTAACATATAACCCTCAGAGCCTGCTCTGAAACGCCACATCACACCTGCTGAAGGCTCCTCTTCTACCTGAGGATTTCAGGGTCACACAGTAACTACATCGTCAGGGAGCACTTCCAGCTGCCTGATTTCCCTAACCAACTCCGATGGAAATCTCAAGTGGAGCTCTGACTACAAAACTCTTTATAAGCCATTAGCTACAGCTATCCCCAGTCTCCAAAAATCAATCTTGAAGACCACCAAACCCTATGCAACACTAAAGGAGCAGGGTGACAGGCCTCCGGATGACCTTTGCTCCTTAAATAGGCCTAGCTCACTGAGGCGGGGGATAAGGGCGAGATCATACTGAGCACCTCCAGAACAGGCCATGGCAAGGCCCAGTCATCACTTGAGGAGGGATGAGGGCTTGACTTGTGAGCCATTCCTGAGAGCTGACCCCTGGCGGGCCTCTAAGATTCACCCTCTCTAGGACGCCTTCTATGACCTCCAGAGTTCGTTACACACACACATACACACCTATCTTATACTGCATACTCTTATCTTCTCTCCCATGGACGGCAAGCTTTGTGGGGACAGGACTGCAAAACTTGTCTCTATATCCATGGGGGTCTGCACCAAAGAGTCATTCAACAAATGTTTTATGAATGAATGAACAAACCAATGAGAAAAACCAACAAACAACAAGGACCCCAGATCATTCACTTCATTTTATCAGTGTCAGTCAAGACTGCCCTTCAAGGTCATGCTGAGCTAGGTTCACTCCACAGTCCAAAAGCCAGAACAGAAAGAGAAGAGCCCAGGGGGTCTGGGAGATTTAAATAGGAAAGAAGTTGAGATTCAAGCCAGCTTGGAATTTTTTTCTGGACCAAGGTATCCTAACAAGTAGGCTATTCTGACCTATTTCAGGTTCTGCAATGTTTTGTGCTACTCCAACCAAAATTTTCAGGTCAGAAAGTTATTTTCTAGAAATTGGATGTTGTTTACATCTTAGTTATTAAATGCAATGTGAAACTACCCAGCACATAGTCATTGTGCAAATTAACACTGATTGAACCTCAATCTATAGAATTCTACTTCTCCATGGCATGAACTAGGAATTTTGCAAATGGTGGAATTACAGAACCACTCTGGGCCACCCACTTACGTGAATCTAAAATCACTTAAGTAAGGCAAGTTGACTTTGGTGGAATAGCCTCTATTTTTCATCCACTTACATAACTCTGCATTGTCAAAGTGCACCAATAACTGGTGCTGTCATCTCTCATGCCCCCAAGAAAAAACTCCTTTGGGGCTCTTTCTACATTTATTTTCAACTGCCAGTTCCCCAGAGGAAAAAATCAAATCACTGACGCTATTTCAAACTTCACGCTCAAGGCAGCCACTAGAACGATAATAGGGCAGCTCAGCTTTTGCTCTCTTTGAGGCAGGAAGACACCCCATGGCTGTGAGGGAAAGGCAGGACATGTGTGTGGACGCTCAAAATACAGCAAGGAAACCCAAAACAACAGAAAGACAAGAGGAGCTAGAGGAAAAAGCTGTTTAGAACTACAAATCATTTCAAGGTAACTTGTTATGTTTTTATATAAGAAGCAAAATGAGCTTTCAGTATTGCCATTTGCCTGTTGTTTCAGCCATTCATGCATTTATTCAGCAAACATTCCTCGGGCACCCATTAGGTGGCAGGCACTGAGCTAGGCAGGTGGGCAGCATCAGAAGCATGTCAAGTAGCAGGATATTAGCCCACAACTGTTCACTGTGTCCCTGTCACACAGTTCATTGCAGCCTCCACCTCCTGGGCTTAAGTGATGCTCCAGCCTCAGCTTCCTGAGTAGCTGGGACTACAGGTGTGCACCACCACACCCAGCTAATTTTTTAAATTTTTTTTGTAGAGACAAGGTCTCACTATGCTGCCTAGGCTGCTCTTAACTCTTGGCCTCAAGTGATCCTCCTGCCTCAGCCTCCAAAGTGCTGGGATTACAGGCATGAAGCAGTGCACTCAGCCCTTCCTTCGAGTCTTTTGCAAGGTCCTTTCATGCTTCAACACAGGTCTCAGCTTAAATGTTTCTTCCTCCAGGAGGTCTTCCCTGATTTGCATTCCCATCCTACCCTGGACTCAATTAGACTTACCTGCTGTATATTCCCACAGCAACTCCTTTTTAATCATTACTTGGTCTTCTCCAAATGTAAGCTCCATGTGGGCAGGTACTGCCTCTCCAATGATTAGCACAGCGGCTAGAATATGGTAAGATTCGATAAATATTCATTGAACAAATGAATACACTGGGTTTATGGGCAAACTACAGGCTCTGAGAAGTATATAGAGTATGAGGGGGGCAGGAGCTCAACAGACTCAAATATGAACCCCGGCTCCACTCTGCATCAGCCATAACA